GGCATCACAGCTCACAGCAACCTCCAACTCCTGGGCTCAGGCGATTCTCCTGCCTCTGCCTCCCAAGTAGCTGGGACTACAGGCACCCGCCACAACGCCCAGCTGTTTTTTGGTTGCAGCTGTCATTGTTCTTTGGTGGGCCCAGGCTGGATTCGAACCCGCCAGCTCAGGTGTACATGGCTGGCACCTTAGCTGCTTGAGCCACAGGCACCGAGCCACAACCTCAAACTTTTGGGCTCAAGCAATTCTCGTGCCTCAGCCTCCCAAGTAGCTGGTACTACAAGCATGCACCAGTACATCCAGACAGGGTCTTGCTCTTGTTCAGGTTGGTCTGGAACTCCTGAATTCAAGCAATCCCTCCACCTTGGCTTCCCGATGTACTAGGATTAAGGCATGAGTCACTGTACCCAGCCATGTTTGAATTTTTTAATAATAAAATGTAAAAAAATCCTCTTTTATTCTTCATGAGGAACATTGAGGATGGAGGTTGAGGGGGTGAAAGGAAGTAGCAGAAAGTTCTTGAATTTGGAGAAGGAAATGTAAATGAATATCAACCCAGGCGCCAGATCTCCTGCTCACCTATGTCTCCCTCCATATGAGCTCCCTGGTTTTCACTCTCTTCAAGGAATGGGTGTGCAATCCTCCAACACCCATTTCCCTCTCCATCAAGTGCCACTAGAGGCAGTTCTCAGTCCACAGGGCCTCAGAACACTGCCTTTACTTAGTTCTGCGCTCAACACCCAGAATGCTGCCGCCTGTAGGAAGTTTACTTGAATGACCCACACCTCCTTCCCCAATACCAACTTGTCAACAACTTTCTGTCCTGATCTATCCACAGTGCCCATGTAAATCTAGTCTGGCTGCCAGTGACTCTCTTGCTTGTTAACCAACCAGCCAAGCATCCTGCTGCAAACAGCTGCAGAACTCCAGGTAAGTCCCTCAAATGCACTAGGGCTCCCAGTCTGATGTGGGAGCCAGGGAAAGTGTGTCTACACACATACACCGAGTTCAGGAGCTCTCAGTAGATGCAGAATGAGGGGTAATAGGAAAAAATTTAATTAAGGATGGCACCTGGAGGTGGACATTCACTGACTACTGGTAGGATCAAGAGGATGGCTAAAGCTGAGGGTGGTGATAGCCCCTGTCACAGTCCCAGGAGCCTGAAAGAAAAGCTGTTATAGGGTGGTTCCTGTGGCTCAGTGAGTGGGGTGTCAGCCCCATATACCGAAGGTGGTAAGTTCAAACCCAGACCCAGCCAAACTGCAACAACAAAAAAATAAAAAATAAATAAAGTAAGAAAAGCTGTTATAACCCTAACCCTCAAGCGAACTTCCTCTCCTACTGATATGGGGAGGCGCTCAGGCCGGGAGAAGTTAAAGCTAGGGGAGGGGCAGGAATGTCTGAGGTGGTAACATTTCTCTCCAGTCAGGCAGCCCTGGCCAGTCAGAACTCTGTCCACCCTGCAGGCCACAGGGTCTGGGTAAGCTGGGAGTGGGCAGGGACCCTAGCAGGGGGTGGGGGTGGGGGGCACACCACACAGGAAGGATAGTTACACCCCAGAGTGAGGTGAGGCTAAGACAAAGGGAGGGAGAATATGGGTTTGAGGTTCTCTGGGGCCTAGAGGAATCCTCTGTCTGGATTCTGGACAGAATCTACTCCCCGAAGAAATTTAAAACAGTCCACTTTTGATCCCTCAACCCTATGGCC